TTTACATTCCATTGAAGGATACAAAGTACAAATAAAATAGGTGAATTATATAATATAACGTTAGAAGGTGATGGTGCCATCGAAAAATATAGCAGGAATAGGGGATTGGGAAGTTCCAGAGTAGAGGTGGGAGTTGGTTTTTAAATATGACAATTTAGGCCTCCTTAAGTAAGTGTTATACTTGAAGGAATTAAGAGAACCAAGTGTTTGTAAAGGCTGTTCTTTCTACCTGGAACACTGTTCCCCAGTACCAACTTGGTTCTCTTAATTCCTTCAAGTATAGCACAACATTCCTCGAGGGGATCCAGATTGGAGAGGATGCAGACTGGACTGAGGGACACACACACACACACTGCACAAATTTCGTGCACCACGCCTCTAGTCTATATATATAAAGAGCCAGGGTACGTAATGTCCAAAACAACCGAAGGGACGACCAAACGCCAGGCTGTGTGTGTAGCAGGCTCAGGTGAGTGGGGACTGGCAAGCGAGCAGGCTGAACTGCTGACCTCTTGAGAGAGGGAGAGAGAGAGAGAGAGAGAGAGGGAGGGAGGTGGAGCCTGGAGGGGGGTAGGGGAGGGCAAGAGCTGATCAGCCCTTTCCTATCTCAGGGCCACGTGCTCCCCTCCCCCTCCCCCCAAAAAAAACAAAAAACAAAAAAAAAACAAAGGTTAGTTCAGAGCAGCCAGAGGTAGCTGCTGATCAGGCCTGGAGATAGTGACTGGCTTAGAAACTGACCACTCAGAACCAAATCTGGATGAACTGCAAGGAGCCAGTGGTTGCCTAGAAGGCAGAGCTTCTGACGCTGACTGGCATAGAAACTAACCAATCAGAACCTAATCTGGTGAACTGCTTAGGCAGAACCTAAGGTGGGGGCTTAGGAGGGGTTTTAAAGGCAATAGCTGTTTGATGTAAGGTGTAAGAAAGCAGTTCAATTTTTTAATGACCACTTTGGCAGTATACTGCATATGATTGGCTATCAGTCCAGATATAGGGGTTATGTACTTTTGTCCACCAAGAGCATCTCCTCCCTCTGAAAAACGGTTTTCCTTCCAATTTAAGCAAACCTATCCTATATAATCTATACTAATAAAAGGATAATATGCTCTACAATAGCCAGAATTTGGAAACAGCCTAGGTGTCCGTCAGCAGATGATTGGATCCAAAAACTTTGGTACATCTACACAATGGAATACTATGCTGCCATAAAAAAGAAGGAATTCTCATCATTTGCAGCAATCTGGATGGAATTGGAGAACATCATGCTGAGTGAAATAAGCCAATCAATGAAAGAGAAATACCACATGACCTCACTCATTGGTGGACAATAAAGCTCTTTATGAACTGATGAACCAAGAGACAGAGATAAAGAAAGTAAAGCAACAGGCAGACTGTCAAATTACAGTGGGGAGGGGAGGAAGATCTGGGGGAAATAATTGATCAAACGAAGGACTTGTATACATGCATATAAGTACAACCAATGTTCATAAAACTCTGGGGAGGGAGGGGATGGGTGGGAGAGAGGGAGGGGGGTAAAAAAAATCAATAAAATATGTAAAAAAAATCAATAAAATATGTAAAAAAAAATCAATAAAATATGAAAAAAAAAAAAGGATAATATGCTAATTAGACCAGGTTAACCATCTTCCAGACATCCACCTTCCTTCTGGACAAAGCCATGGTGGTGGGGGCCAAGGCAGAGGCAGTTAGGGGCGATCAGGCAGGCAGGGGACAGCAGTTGGGGACAAGATCAGGCCAGCAAGAGGATAGTGGCAATCAGGCTGACAGGGGAGGGCAGTTGGGGGAGAGATCAGGTTGGCAGGGGAGGCAATGGGGGAGAGATCAGGTTGGCAGGGGAGGGAAGTTGGGGGAGAGATCAAGTAGGCAGGGGAGTGGTTAGGGGGTGACCAAGCTGGTAGGCAGAAGCAGTTAGGGGCAATCAGGCAGGCAGGCAGGCAAGCAGTTGGGAGCCAGCAGTCCTGGATTGTGAGTCGGACATCCCTTGAAGGGTCCCATAATGGAGAGGGTGCAGGCTGGGCTGAGGGACACCCGCCCCCCCTCCTCGCCTACCCCCTTCCCCAATTCATGAATGATGTGCACCAGGGCTCTAGTTAATAAGTAATGATACAATGATAAACTGTGTTTCACATACCACCTGTAAACTTACTTTTGCTGACCTTGTATATTGAATACATACTGCATTGTTCTAGATGGTAAATATATAACTTCATGGAAAATCTATGTTAGTGGATGAAAACAGAATAAGCATATAAAATGTCAGCCTCGGTTAATAATATGAATAAGAATAAAAAGCATAAGCGGTAGGGAGATAATCCTTTGGTTTAAACTGATAAGGAAATAATTCTTTACAGAAGTCTTTTCTGCTGAGGTGACATTTGGGCAGCACTCTGAATCAAATGAGGGAGTGAACAATGCAGGAACCTGAGAATACCATTCAAAGCAAAGAAAACAGCCAGTGCAAAGGTCTTAAAGCAGGAACATCTGCTGTATTGAAGAACAACAAAGGACCAGCCTGGAGCCAGTAAATGAGGACGTGGAAAAGAAAAGTTCTGAGAGTTAGTGGAAGAGGGCCCAGATCATGTGGGTTGTTATCCATTAAAAGAACTTCTTTACTCAGATACGATGCTGGCACTGGGACTTTTTAATAAATGAGTGATGTGGTTTGATTTTATGACTTAAAAGGCTCAGTGTGGCTGCTCTGGAGGTGGGAGGTGGGTAGGAACAGGGAGACGACTCATGGGCTATGACAGTAATCATAGTGACAGATGATGGTGACTTAGTGTTTGCAGTGGAGATTGTAAAAGTTGTCAGGTTCCGGCTATTTTTACTAGTAAAAGGAAGAACTGAAAGGATTGGCTGACATAGGATGCAGAGAAAGAGGGAAGTTAAAGTGGATTATAAGGCTTTGGAGCTGTCTGCTGTTGACTGAGGTGGGCAAATTGAGGGCAGAAAGCTTTGGAGGGGTAGTATCAGGAATTTGGTTTTGACAAATTTAATCTGAGTCACCTACGTATATGATAATTCCATCCAGTGCCAAGTAGACAATTTTATTATATATAGCAACAAGGGGAAACTAGAGCAATAAGCATAGAGAAGACATAAGAAGCCTTCAGGTACTTAGAAGTTGGGTTGCTGAGGAGGAACCAGCAAAAGAAAACTAGAAATACACAGTGTCCAGTGAAGTGGGGGGGAGTGACTGTGGAGTCCTCCCCACAAAACAAAAACAAAAAAAACACGGAAAACAAAGAAAGGCTTCAAGAAGGCAGAAATGACCTAGTATGTCAGATGCTCACAAGGTGTGTGATGTGAAGATTGATAATTGGCCATTTTTGCTGAGTTCTGACTGATGATTAGACCTTGATTATATCTCTTCCTGTCCATCTCTAAACTGAAAGTGCCATGAGTTCAGGGATCTTATACCAAACATGTAGCAGAAGTAAATATTAGTTGAATCTGTATTACTGCCACCTTCTTCTTTCTTGGAGTCTTCATCCCTCATTCCTATTAAAAAAAAAAAAAAAAAAAAAAAAATCTCTGCCGATACCGGTTTGGCTCAGTGAATAGAGCGTTGGTCTGTGGACCGAAGGGTCCCAGGTTCGATTCCGGTCAAGGGCATGTACATTGGCTGCGGACACATCCCCAGTGGGGGATGTGCAGGAGGCGGTGGGTCGATGTTTCTCTCTGATCAATGTTTCTACTTCTCTATCTCTTTCCTTTCCTCTCTGTAAAAAATCAATAAAATATATATTTTTTAAAAATCTCTCCTGGGGATTTTTTATTGATTTTTTTTTTTTTTTTTTAAGAGAAAGTGGAGGGGAGGAAGGAGAAGATGGAGAAAAGGAAGAAAGAGAAACATTGATGTGAAAGAGAAGCATTGATGTGAGAAACATATTGATTTGTTGCCTCCTGTTCACACCCTGACTGGGATCAGAGATGAAGCCTACAACCCAACTACATGCCCTTGACATACCCTCAGGTCTATGGACTGATGCTCCAACCACTGAGCAAACCGGCCAGGGCCCCGCCTCTCTTTCTAATCTTGCTCTCAAGTACCTTCTTCATATGGCTGCCAATTTGCATGACCTTTCCTACCTAGAATGCTTTAGTAGCTCCCCATTACCTTCGCTATGAAACCCTGTTCTTCTCCAGATAGAACAAATCCATCGATGCCATCTTTTTCAAACTCGTCTTTTACCACTTCATACCTGTACCGTAATAATACAGAACAGTTTATAGTTCTCTTTACAAAATATTATTTTATCCTTCTCTGGCTTTAACCATTCTATTCTTTTAGCCTGGGATGACTTTCCTCCTTTGCTTGGCTAAACACTAGCTTGAAGATTTAGGAAGCTTTTGTGAACCAACTCAGTCAGTCCATAGTCAGCCTCCGTAATATGATATTTGATATATCTGTAAAACCGTTCTTACTCTCTTTTGAATTTAACATTTTTATATGTCTGTTAGAGTATAATTTTTAAGGTCAGGAATGTGTATTTTCCTTTCCCTAGTACCTACCACAGTGCTATCTCTTGGTTAGTGCTCTATAAATACCAAATATTTAGAGAACAGGAAAATGAAGGGGAAGGCATACAAATGTGATCTGAATATTGTCTGAATCAATGACTTGACAGAAAGGAGAAAGAATCGTACATGGTAAATTCTAGGCTAAGTCAAAAGGTAAACTTTTGAAAGAAATGATAAATATGTACATTTTAATAATTGAATATCTATACTTTGTATAAAGAAATATAAATGCCTATGTCAAAATAACATAATTTGGAAAATCATTTTTAACTAGTCCTTGTAATTCTAAAATTATTGTATAGTAATTTTCAATTTCTAAGTGTTCTTATCATATATGTTAGAATGTATAGACTTTACGTACATAATTTATATTGTGTTTTTTTTAATACTTTTATATTAAATTTTTAGAACATCAATGCAAGACTGAATAAGAAAAAGTCCCTTCCTTCTAAGCCATGGCATATCAGTTATATAGAAATACCACTTTGGGAAACAGTCTTCAGGAAAGCCTCGATGAGCTCATACAGGTAAGAGACTAAAAATCAGCATTTTTATTTAAAGGTGTCTATAATAATTATTGTTAGTAGCCCTATGCACGAATCCATGTGCCAGTAGCTCACTGCTACTCTCCAGTAGCTCTCTGCCCACTGCCACACCTCCCTATAGCTTCCCCCCGCCCCCCTTCCTCACCTCACCCCTCATAGCTTGCTGCCCTGCCCTCTCCTGTAGCTCCCCACTACCTGCTTGTAGCCAGTAACTCATTGTAGCCCACTCCGCGCGCGCCCGCCCCCCCCTTCCTTCATAGCTTCCTGCCCTTCCCCTCCTCCTGTAGCTCTCTGCTGCCCGCTTGTAGCTTCCTGTCCCACCCTCTTGCTGATCCATGATCTGGTGGTTATTCGGTAGATCATTACACTTCACAGCGTAACGACCATTTTCATATTACATCTTTATTATATAGGATTCCAGGCAAAGAGGTTCAATATCAGATTATTTGGCCCAGTAAATCAGTATTCAGATTAATAATCTCAAATTCCTGTGCATTTATACCAAACTACTATGAATCATAAAATGTAATGATTGAATGATGTAGTTGCATATATCTGAATTTTCAAATATTTTTGTTAAAGATTAGTGTTTTGATTTTCTTCATATATATATATATATATATATATATATATATATGAAAGACATTCTATGTAGCTTTAAGCTAAATTTGAGCAATTTTCTAAGTTTTTTGAGGTTTAGGTAAATTAGAATTTTTAATTTTAAGAGAATTTTTATACTAATCTCTCATTTAAGAACATTAAGTATTTCCATTTGCTTTTATATATTTAATGAGATTTATTAGATTTTTTAAAAATGTATTATTGGTCATATGTTTTTTATTTAAATGAAATGTGGTAATTCTTCAGTTTATCAAATGCCTCTTTCCAGATACCATAAGAAATGAGTTAAAGTTTTGTCCAGGCATTGCAGCATCACTGCATGTTTACTTTTCAAAATTATGTTGTGTCAAGATAATGCAAGAAAATATTGTCAGGCTGAATGCCTAATTGTCAGTTATGGCAAAGGAAAATAAGGGGTGAGCTTAGAGGCTCTGGTTAACCTCAGTGAAATTTTTTCATGATAATTCATGTTTTTGTTTATTTTGTGTTTAATGTTCTTCTGATGTATGACCTTTACTTTTCCTCAGTCTCAACAGATCACTCCCCAACTTGCCCTTCAAGTTCTACTTCAGTTTGATAAGGCTATAAATTCAGCATTGGCTCAAAGGGTCAGGAACAGAGTCAATTTCAGGGTAAGGATATTTTTTCCAAAACCTAGTAGCCTGTACCAGTGGTTGTTTCAACAGTGGTTTTTAGGACCCCTACATATTTATTAGTCATGAAAGGAAGAAATGGTTCAATCAAATTTTGTGGCATGTTTTATAATAACAAAATTATATTTTTACTTAGTACTTGATACTAAAGTTCATCCATTTAACATGAGATACAAAGTTTATTTTAGATATTTTTCATTTCATTGTTTCACAAATTAACAACCTATGTATGTTTGTCTACCTTCCCTGAAGAATTAGTGAGATTTCAAATACCTAAAATATTATCTGCAGGTTTGAAGGTAAGTCTCAGAGTAATCCAGTAAGGTTATATTTTTCCAACTCCTGCTCCTAAAAAAAAAAAAAAAAAAAATCAGAAGAATATCAGTTACACAGGACAATAATATTGTAGTCTATTGTAGTGGCTAATACAGCAATTGCCTGAGTCACAGAATTAAAATTAATGTTTTGTACAGTTGTGGAGAATTAACGTACACAATAATATATGTTCTTTTAAACAGTGTTTACATAAAAATTCAAGTGAACTTTCATGATTTAGCCACATGAGGGCAGTAGAAAAACAGATTCAAATTTTCTTGAGTTCTAGTAGGCAATACAGCTTTCTTCAGATTTCAGGTAAGCAATTTACAGACTTACAGTGCTGAAAATAGTCTGCCCACGGGAAATTTAAACTCTTCCCTTGGCATGTTTATCTAGGGATTTTTAAAAAATTGTTAGGATGAAAATTAAGGAAAATATTAAGCAAGGTAAATATTAAAGAATTTTAAGAATTTTGTACTTGGTGGCTAAGTCTCAAATTGCTTTGGAGGAAAATGTGAGGAAAAATGACTTCATATTATGTCTAAATTTTTTGTTTTAAAGGGCTCTCTAAATACATACAGATTCTGCGATAATGTGTGGACTTTTGTATTGAATGATGTTGAATTCAGAGAGGTGACAGAACTTATTAAAGTGGATAAAGTGAAAATTGTAGCCTGTGATGGTAAAAGTAAGTGTTCGCCTAATTACTGTGAAAGCAAAGCTACTTGAAATCTAGTTTTTAATGAGTCTTTAGAAAATCTTCATCTGAAACTAAAATGGAAAGCTGTCAGTGATCCACTCGTAGAAAGAGAACTGGCTTCTCAGCTAGATTCTGAATTCCAGATTTCAAATTAACTTTAGTATAGATATTTCATGTGACACATAGACTACTTCAAGATTGAGTTGGAGATGTGGAGAGATTTCAGCTACAGATTGGAAGTATTCATCAGGCTTTTTCACCACCACCTATTTAAGGAAGCATTTGATTTTGACAATTTACCTTATGGTTTCTGTGTTGCTGGATAACTGTACATTTTATATTTAAAAGATGGTTATTTAAGATTTTAATTAACCATAAGAACCTTATCAATTATAATAGTATCCATTTCTAATCTGTGCTGATGTATTTTCCACAGCTGACCAAGAGACTTGTTCAGGGCCTTCAATGCTTCAAAAAGTATACCTCTCTGCTTTCTATTCCATTAGTTTTCCTTTTGGCTAATTGTATTTTAAATATGTACTTAATTTTACTTTATCATCTGAACCATCTGTTTAAAGCAGCTATTGCTGAAATTAAATAGAGAAGACTGTCCAAGAAGGGGAGTTTTAAAAAGCAAGAGACCTCGGAGGGAAGGTAGGGTGGGTGGGGGCAAAAGAGAGAGATCAACCAAAGGACTCATATCCATGCAAATAAGCATAATCAATGGACACAGACACCAAGGGGAGGCAGGCAATGGGGAGATAGGGACACATATGTAATACCTTTAGAAAGAAAGGGGGGGAGCAAGAGAAAGATAAATGTGTAGAAAGTAATACCCTTCGTTTCTCAGGTTATGGGGTGGGTTTTTTTCTCTATATTTGGGATTTTTAAATAAATAATCACTGGGGGGAAAATGTAGAGACAGTAAAAACATGCAGAAGGAAAATATTTGTAACAACATTTGATGTTTTCTGAAGATAACATTTTTAATGATTTTTTTTGTATAACCAACCTAGTCTTATATTTTTACATTAATATACATATGTACGTATATACATTTGCGAATCGTTTTCAAACATAGTTGATTACTCTGTAATTTTGTTAGGGCAACTGAGAAATCTAATGCTTTAATTTTTATTTAACTTCATTAGCTAACTTTAAGTAATTTGAATAGCTGTAGATGGCTAGCCAGTGGCTACCATATTGGACAGCACAGATGTATTATAGACTAGTAAAGTGTCATTTTAAATCATTAGAAACTTAGGGAAAAACCACAAAGTCAGTAAAGAAGAACTCTGAGTAAACTTAGGTATTTTACTTACAGGGGCTCCCAGTTTCTGGTGGTCTTCAAGTATATTACTCCTGTTTAAAGATACAAGTTATCTGTTTTTTTCAAACTTAACTGGATGAAAAACAGCAGATCAGCCTCAACTATTGCAGTGGCTCCTGAGTAGCTTGCCCTTCTACAACACATTGTAGTAATCTTCCAAGGAAACCTTATTGAGTATTCAAGAGAAGCTTAGCTTGTGTGCCATTACTCTGTGTCAGCAGAAAATAATACAATTTTAGAAATTTTCTTTCCAAAATTAAAGCAAATGGTTTGGCATTCAGAAGTTGAAGTTATTAAGAAAATATACCATTCCTTAGATATCAGATATATGTAGTGCTACTATGAAATAAGCTCATTTGTCCTAAAAGTCAGCTTTCTGAAGTAAACTTAAGTTCCTACTAGAACAGCAGAAAAAAAAGTGATGGTAGCTAGAATTTTAGTGTGTTTCTCACCAGGAATTAAGTTATATAATTCTCTTCTGATTATATGTTACAGCCCTTGTGGTATAAAATTTTGGGATAGTAAAGGACCTGGAAAAAAAATATGGTTATTAGCAGTTAATAAATCAAATGTAGTATGTAGTTTTTCTCTAGCATAATATGGAGAGCTAAGCATTTTGTTTTACTTCTGTCTTAAAGGGAAAGTTCTTTTAAGCCTCTAGGTATTTTCATGGTCAGCTTCCCCTCTTCTTCCCCACCCCTCAAGTCATCACCACGATTAGTTCTTGTTTTATTTTTAAGGTATTATTTTAAAAATTAAATTGCTCCTTGAATTTACTCTTTCTCTCCTGTTTCCTAGATACTGGCTCCAATACTACAGAATGAATAGAAAAATGGCTCTTTTATGCCATCTTCTGTTGTTATTCATCACTTTTTAAAGAGAAGCATAGAAGAGACTTTATTTATTCTAGCATTGCGGAAACGATTACACTGTGCTATACTATCAGAGAATCCAGTAGCAAGATGCTTGTAACTCTGTAGCCTCTTATATTACCTATATTCTGCAGCATGAAGAAACAGACTTTTTTTTAATGACAAATCAAACATTGTTGCCTTCCTAATAATATTCTTTAATAAATTCATTTTAAAACTCAATATGGGTAATAACTGGTAGAGCTATTAAGCTAGAAATATGAAGATATTAGATAAGCATTTTGAAAGAGCACCATGTTCCTTGCAAAGGAGTTTAGGAAATGCATTTCAATAAAGTCAGGTTAGTTTTATCAATTTTAACAGCTGCTAAAAGCATCAGCAGGAGCAAAACCAAATTCTGGATTGGAATTTTACTTAGAAAATCCCTTATCTAAAAGTACAAAACCATGCCAAAATCGGTTTGGCTCAGTGGATAAAGCATCAGTCTGCGGACTGAAAGGTCCTAGGTTCGATTCCGGTCAAGGCCATGTATATTGGTTGCGGGCACATCCCCAGTAAGGGTTGTGCAAGAGGCAGCTGGTCGATGTTTCTCTCATCATCGATGTTTCTAACTCTCTATCCCTCTCCCTTTCTCTCTGTAAAAAAAAAAAAAATAATAATAATAATAATAAAATATATTTTAAAGAAAAAAATAAAAGTACAAAACCAAGAGTAATCATCACTGTAAAAAAAAAATGCTAATTACAACTGAATTAGGACGAGTTAGATAATCGTTAGACAGCTTCCATAGCCAAAACAAAACCAAGAAACTTATTTCCAAACAAAATGGTCTCCACAAGACATGTAAAATATTTCTTGAACTGGCCATGTTGGCCAAGTTATATACATTTTTAACTGATCTACATTTTGCTAGGTATTAGACTTACTCAGAAGGGAAAAGTTTTTCTTGCTTGTCAATTAGGATTATATAAATGAAGACTGGCATTTCTGAAATATCACAGAGGGAGAATGTTGCACAAAGTAGCCGAACAACCAGCATTTAGCAGCTGCCTACAGGTGAATCAAGATCAACCTTTTATTGTTTTTTTGGATCAACTTTTTAATCAAGACCTGGCCCTATTTAATACTTAGACTCTTAACTGCCCCCCATTCTGTAGTGAACCCCAATTCAACCCTACTTCAGTGTGCTGAAGCTACCACCTAAAGATGGAAACTCACTTTTCTCCAGCTGAGAATAATAGTAGTAATCTACAAAATGACTTTTCATAAACCTGTTAAAATGTTAAGTAGTTCTTTATAGTAGACACAAGAGGCCTGTTGCAGGAAGATCCCTGCAAGAATGGGGCTTCATGCGGTGGTCTCCGCCGCCCCACCTGCTTCCCTCCCTTTGCCGCCTCCCCACCTGCTTCACCGCAGCTTTGCTCCCTTCTGTAGCACTTGGCTTCCTTCTACACTATCCTCAGTCTTCGCTCTGTGCCTAGATATGCAAATTAACCGCCATCTTGGTTGTGTTGATTTACATACTTGCTCCTGATTGGATTGTGGGCATAGCAGAGATACTGTCAGTTTACATGTTTCTCTTTTATTAGCTAGGATAGTCCCCCTATTTTCAGTAGTAGAAGCATGTTCTAATAGATGTGTGGTTTTTATATTTTTTGTTAATTCATTCCAAAGAGCGAGAAAAACATTGATGTGACAGGAAAACATCAATTTCCTCCTGCACACACGCAAACGGGATTAAACCTGCAACCTGAGTATGTGCCTGACCAGGAATTGAACTTTTTGGTATACAGGATGACCAACTGAGCCACACAAGCCAGGACAATAGATGTTATTTTTAAGCAAACAATGCTCAAATCTGATTCATATAGCAGCAAAAAATAAGACTTTATAAGATAGTAACAAACATTACATTATTTGGGTCAGATCAAGTGCTATAATCTTAGATATATTCTCCTGGATAATCCTCACAAACCTGAAAGAACTTTGTTCCCTTTTTACAGATTTTGAAATTGAAACAAGTTACAAAAGGTTACAATAATTAGGATTTTCTTAATAGCAGTTGGTCAAAATCAAGATCTTTTACTTTGGAAGTTCAACATCATAGTTAGTAAACTTAAAATTCCTATTTCTTAAGGAATAAGTTATGGTTTAAACTTTTCCGTTACTAATAATCACTGAGAACTTAAGAAATATAGGGCTGGAGTTTGTATTTCTGTTTGGGGACTTAAAATCCTTTGAATGGTGTTTGTAGGTTGTGCCTACAATCTATTGACAATCTCAGCTGGGGAAGCAACCCATTGACCCTGGGTGAGAAGTTTCTTGTAAGATAGGATTGCCTGGCTTGACCTACTAATAGTAATAGTGACGTAAGCCATTCTCTGGACACTCCAGTGTTACCTCAGCATGATAGTGTAGTCCTTGACACTCGCATTAAAACTTATCCTTGCAGCTCATTCTGTGTCCTCTACTCCAGTATTCTCATCCTAACCTTTACCAGCCATCACATGGTCAGTTCCAGTTAAGTTTGAAAAAAGAAAGAGCTGAGTTTACTTATGTCTTTGGCTATGCACTTTCCTATATTTTTCCAGTCTTTCAGAATCAAAATCCTACCTATGCTTCAAAACTGAAACACAATTGTATCTATTATCTGCATTGATCTCTTTGCTGTTGGCCTCATATGAAGAAATTATATACACAAAAGGAAACACAACAAAGGACAGGAAGAAGTTGGGTCAGTCCCAATACTCATACGGGTAACTAGTATGGAATGCCCAGGGTTTATTCTGCATTCCATCAGACAAAACTGGTTCTGAGATGGGTTAGCCCCATACCAACCCCTGCTTTTGTTTGGGTGGGAGTGCAGAGTCCTAGCCAGGCATTTCCTCCTGTCATTTGTAATTACTTGTGTATACATCACACAACTGACACTTGCATTGTGGTGTAGAGTGATTCCTACAGTGATACTCAGACTTTCCTAAGATTACAGAAAAGAGTGATAGCAACTGAGTTCACACCACTTTGTGCTCTCCCACCTGACCATGGGCTCCAGTGATAAGCTTACTTGCCTGTTAGTGTGGAAGAAGAGAAAATCCATCAATTGTCTACTGTCAGGACTAAGTACAAGCTTGGCTTTTGTAATGAAGAGTCAGTCCTCTCCACATGCATTACTAAGTGCTATTTTAACTCCCAAATAAATAGTGGGCAAAGAATAGCCTCTGGGATTAATGCCAGACTGGTTATTGGTAGGCTGTTTATTGTGAGCTATCTTTGGCTAATTTTATTTCTTGGTAGACATAATCACAGTGTCATAAGGTGTGCTACCAGCATTTTTTGGTGAGTCATAATTAAATCACTAATAAAAATTTGAGATTTTAAAATATGTATATTTAAGTATATATTTCAACTGGGGAAGCAATTTGTAGCATAGTTTTAAAAATTGGACTCAATAAAACTGCAGGATAATAGAAGGTACAAATATAGAAGGATGTGCAGCCTTTGCTTTGTCAATCCATTCTAAAAATGTACTCTAATTTGTTCATCCAGCTTTTTTATTTTAATATTTTAAAATGGATTTTGAGAGAGAGGAAGGGAAAGAAACATGGATTGGCTGCCACCTGCATGCTCCCAACCTGGGATCTAACCCACAAACCAGGCATGTGCCAGCAATCGCACCAGCAAACTTTCAGTGCACCAGACAACACCTAACCAACTGAGCTACCCTGGCCAGGGCCAGCTCTTTTTCATATCTAGATATAGATGATTTAGATATAGATACAGATACAGATATAAAAACCTAAGTGGCCATCACAACCAAACGGACAATTGAACAGGCTACATGGGGCAACCAGGCCAACGGGGTTAATGAGGGGCAAGCAAATGACAGAACAGGCTGTATGGGACAACCAGGCCTCCGGGGGACAGTTTTGGGCAACCAGGCTGGCACAGGTGCAGTTAGGGGTGGTCCAGGTTTGTGAGAGGGATGTCCAGCTGCTGGGTATTAGGCCTAAATCAGCAGTCAGACATCCCCTGAGGGGTCCCAGATTTGAAAGAATGCAGGTTGGGCTGAGGGGACTGCACCACGCCCCCTGTAATAATAATGGAATCTATTATTTTCCTACTGCCTAATAGAATTTGCATGGGGTGTGGAGCAAAACATTTCACCTTGACAACATTCCAAGATTTAGTGGGATTAGCTTAAAAGAGCATTGTGAAGAAGGACTGTCAGTAGAATTTGCATGGGGTGTGGAGCAAAACATTTCACCTTGATAACATACCAAGATTTAGTGGGATTAGCTTAAAAGAGCATTGTGAAGAAGGACTGTCAGTACTCTCTTCAATGCTCTATTCATTCTCTTGATTCTGTGAACTTCCTAAAGTTCTGTTACAAGAGAAATTGGCTATAAAACTGGTTCTTTTGTCCCTGAATAGAGAACTGAGATTGTTCTTGCCATTTCTGGACATGCATTGACAGCACTGATCTCTTTTCTGAATTAATAGACGGAAATATACTCTGCGCTTTTCTCCCTCTGCTTTTACTCATTTTATTCCCTCAGATTAACAAAAAAGACCCCAAATAGCTAGAGCAGTCCTGAAATAGAAGGAACAAAGCAGGGTCATCATGCTTCTTGATTTCAAACTATTACAGAGCTACAGTAATCAACAGCATCATGTTGGCATAAAAACAGACACATAGGTCAATGGAACAGAAAAGAGGCCAAAAATCAACCCACACTATGTGGTCAATTACTTTATGACAAATTTATAACAAAGGAGCCAAGGATATATAGTGGGGAAAGGATAGTCTCTTCAGTAAATGGTGGTAGGGAAACTGGACAGCCATGTTGCTGAGTGAAACTTGCTATCTTATACCATACACAAAAGTCAACTCAAAAGGGATTAAAAATGAACGTAAAACCTGAAATCATAAAACTAAGAAAATGGGGTAAGCT